GAACGCGAAGTGCTATTTGGTCACATCGATTACGCCTACGTATCAGTGCTGTTGTCAGTCAGAACAATAAACGACTACGTAATAATTCCAACGATGGAGGCTTATGGATGTGTTGGCATGTGCTCTGATCGACGTCTTTACAATCACCTTGAGGGAGCTTTTCTTCAAAACAAACTCGACAATATTCCGAGGGAAATGTTTGCTTTAGTTGTGAGGAATTTTTTGAATCTGGCTTAATGTTTCATTCTAAGAGAATGAATAGATTTCACTGGTCCATTTCACTTTTCATTCTATTTAAGCTTGGCAGTCTTCTCCGCCATGTAATTTCGACAGAGCAGAGCTGTCCGCGTTTGAGAGAATGAATACAATCACAATTCACTTGACTCACGTCAATTAGCCCAGCCATTCGTTAACAATTATGGTAAAGCGATAAACGCTTTCAACATAAAGAAAGACCCAATCTCGTGAAAAACCTATGTACAAGATACTTTCACGACGAGCGATTTCGATTACTCGGACAGTCACCAAAGAACCATCACTTCCCCAAAGCTATACCTTGCATACTTCGTGAGCACCATTTAGTTTTTACAGAAGAACACATGTGGACATTGAGCCATGTTCTGCCGTAGGCAATGCAGGCAGATAAGATGGGTGCGAAGGTTATCAATTGGTAGATCAAGTAAAGAGAGGAGGCAAAACAAATGCATGTTGTCTAGAATTTCACACATATCCACTAGACATTTGACGTATACATGCGAATCGTTTTCTGATGGCCAGTACGGAAAGATGTACCCCTCCAGCTGCCAGGAAGTCGGTAATATATACGACTAGATACCAAATTTATTATTATGGAGAGGTATTCAGTGTGTTCAAACGGTATTATAAATTAGTTTGGAAGACTGATGGGGTTTTACAGCTTTCACGGTCGTAGTTGATTGCTGTGCGTTCACAGTCCGTCTCAAACGTTCGAGTATTTAGTTCAGCTGATGTCAACGCCAAGAACAGTAGTTACCAGCGCCAAGGTAAAATATCCACACAAAATATGGAGGTCGGTCAGGTCAGATTTGTTAGGGAAATTAGGGAAATACCTTTGAACTCCCTCTCGGTACAGACCGTCTACACTGTCAGGCGCTTTTGACAGTACAAGGTCTAGACAGTTGGCTGGTTGCCTTTCACACCACCTTGTCCAAAATAAGACGTGTTGTGATAAAAAGGCTTTTTTTACCGGGCGTAGGAGTCGGCGATCAAAGCTTGGTTTTGACACGGTCCCAGAACCGAGGCTCCAGTCGATATGCGGAGCGTTAAAGTCGCCCATAATCATGACATTGGAACACACGGCAAATGCTTTAACTGCCCCTACCAGGCTAGTGTCTGACTGTGGGTCGTTCGGCGGTGGTCGATAAACCGCCAGGATCTCAAGGGCTCGTGATCCCGGCGTTCTAACGGTGAGCCTGAGGGCCCCTATATCGAACGTGAGCTGATAAGTTTTGTCTGACACGAGCAGGCCATGTCTAGCATAGGTTAGCACACCCCCACCTCACCATCCGGCTCTACTTTTCGGAACAGCTGAAAACCGGGAGAGCAACTTCCTGATCGTCTAACTTCGTGGATAACCATGTTTCTGTTATACAGATGACATCTTGTTCCACTTGGCAAATAATAATTTTAAGCTTCTCTAATTTAGAGAGTAGGCTTTGTGCACTGCTGTACATGTACTTTAGTTGCATTCCTCGGCTTGCTCTGAAAGGTTTCACGTTTGAGCCAACCCTTCCCCTACTGGGTCGACTACGTGGTTATCTGGAACGGGCCTGTAAAGGATGAGAACAATGGACGCTGAATCTCTTGGTTGTTTTGAGTAACCAAGTTTTTTCCCCCGTGCTCAGCATTTTATCGCCTCTTGCGGACAGACGCACCTGTGGGAGGACGCATCCTTTGTCTGCAGTCAAGCAAGATGATTAAAGGGAAGAGACAGCAGTGCGATGTCAGCAATAGGGGACTCATGTGCGTACGGCAGTCGCGCTGAACTCTAACCTGAAGAAGAAGAAGAATGCTATATTGAGGATTTTACAAACCTGAATTTT